GGTTTTAAAGCAGAATCCATTTTTTAAAAAATCCTTACCTGAAGATATGTTTTTATTGATTTGAGAGAGAAACATTGATGGGAGAAACATCAGTTGGTTTTATCCGTACATGGCCTGACCCAGGACCCAACCCACATTCTAGGCGTGCCCTGACCAGGTATCAAATCCGCAACCTTTTGGTGTATAGGACGAGATTCCAACCAACTGACCTACCCAGCCAGGCTGTGGTGGGTTTTTTTTGTGGTTAATATTATTTTTTGCCCTAGCCAGTTTGACTCAGTGGATAGAATGTCGGCCTGTAGACCGAAGGGTCCCAGGTTCAATTCCTATCAAGGGTACATGCCTGAGTTTTAGGCTCAATCCCTAGTAGGGAGTATGTGTGCAGGAGGCAGCCGATCAATGATTCTCTTTCATCATTGATGTTTCTATTTCTCCCTCTCCCTCTCTGAAATAAATAAAAACATCTTAAATAAGTAAATTAATACATAAATAAAATGTGTCACTTTGACATAAGGATTATTTTTTAAATTTTATTTTATTTTTTTAATCCTCAAGCGAGGATATTTTCCCATTGATTTTTTTAGAGAGTGAAGAGAGAGGGAAAGACAGAAATATGGATGTGAAAGAAACACATCGATTGGTTGCCTCCTGCATGAGCCTGGATCAGGGCCCCGTCAGGGGTAGAGCCTACAACCAAGGTACGTGCCCTTGACTGGACCCAGTACCCTACAGTCTGCAGGTCAACACTCTATCCACTGAGCCAAACTGGCTAGGGCTGTTTTGTTTTTAAATGAGAAAAGAAGCAGGTAAATATACTACATTACATGATTTTCTTTTTGTAAAACAAATCTCATATGTATGTGTGTATGTTTGCATATGGTTATAGGATTATAGAGAAAGCTATGGAAGGGTACCCAGCACACGTTATCAGTGATAATGCTGGAGAGGGAAACAGGAACCTGAAAGTTATCCAATACGTTTTTAATGACCCAATATGTTTTCAAAATGTGCTTCATGCTCTAAAAATGTAAGGCATGCCCTGTTGCTGACACGTTGCTCAGTGATTGAGCGTCAACCTATGAATGGGAGGTCACAGTTCGATTCCGGTCAAGGGCACATGCCTGGGTTTCAGGCTCCATTCCCAGGAGGGGTCATGTAGGAGGCAATGGATCAATGATCATCGATGTTTCTTTCTATCCCTCTCCGTTCCTCTCTGAAATTAATTAAAACATTTTTTAGAAACTTAAACACACCTACCATATAATCCAGTCCTTCCATTCCAAAATATTGTCGATGTAAGCCTGTCCAAACCAGTATGAGAGTTTGAGTTTTATTTGAGCCAAATTGACAACGTACTGGACCAAAAAGCTGCTCCCTTGAGGGTGGTCACACCCCTGAGGGGTCTGCGCATTACCTCTAGCATTTCAGGGTGTGTGACCCTAAATGCACAAGAACAGTGGACAGGGCTGGCTTATGGCGAAGGTCAGTCTCTCCTAGACCTGGGGGGTGACTGCCCACCACGACCTGCCCGATTAGAATTTATGATCAGATCACCCTGTGGGGTTACTTTCCGTTAGATTTATTGCAGTGCCCCTGTTCTGTCCATAGCCACACACATTCAGGTACATGAATGTTGACAGCTGCTTTATTTGTAACAGTCCCAACCTGGAAACCGCCCAAATGTTCACCAGGTGACTAGCTACACAGACTGGTATATCCCCATACGGTGGAATACTACTTAGCAATAAAAAGGAATGGCTATTAATACATGCAGCAACATGGATGAAACTCAAAATAATTGTGCTTAGTGAAAGAAGCCAGAGAGGAACATGGTACATAGTGTATGATTCTATGTATATAAATTCCGAAAAATTCAAATCCATCTCTATTGACAGCAAGCAGACCAGTGGTTAGTCGGGGATGGGGAGGTGGAGAGCAGGAGGGTGTGGCTACAAGGGGGCCGAGGAAGTTTTGGGGGTGATGGAGATGTTTACCTCGGTTGTGGTAATGGTTTCACGGGTGTGGTGTATTTGTGTTGAAGTCATCAAACAGTACGTTTTAATATATGCAGTTTATTGTATGCCGATTATTCCTCCGTTTGTTAAAGGAAACAATAGGAGGAAGCAATTACTGGGAAAGATCTGCCCGCAATTTCATCATCTCCACTTGAGGTCCTTATCTAGGGAAGGATTATCTTGGCTTTTGTTTTCGTTTTTTAAACCATTATAGGGCTTTAATTTCTGTGTGATTACTTTAAAACATTTCAACCTAATCTTTTATTACATAGGATTTGATACACACAAAAGGATGTGTGCACCTTAGGTGAGCTAGAAACGGAGTTATAAATGGAGCACGGTGAAGCTACCACCCAGCCTGAGCGCCAAGATACCACCAATACCTTCTGCCAACTCCTGGGGTCCTCTTACCCACCCTCGCTCCCCTCACAGGGATCAGCATTTTGCATTTTGTGTTTCTTCTTCTGACCTCCTAGTGGAGTTTTATCACAGGTGTATCACCAAACAATACGTAGTGTAGTTTTACTGTCATACTGTATGTGGTTTTATGCAATTTGTTGTTTTAATACATCTCTACGATGCACCTGTGTTGTTGCGTTTTGTGTACTAGGGTATTTTCAATACTCCTGACAGCCCTGCAGGCAGACTTGGGTATGATACACCCAGGAAAACACGGCTCAGCAACTCACCCAGTCCAGGGGCCTGACTCCAAGGCTTCCTCGTCACAACATGCTCCTTCCTTCCCGAGGAAGGCATGCGCCAGGCAGTGGCCAGGTGCTGGGCGTGGCTCAGTGAACGTGGCCACTTTCTGGTTGTGACCTCTCCTCCTGACCCTCACCAGGCTGGTGTATGGGCCGGCTACCTGGACGCCTGGGCTGCCCACACTTCTGCACTCACCCGTGGAATGGCCGAGGGGCGGATCCGACCCATCCCAGAGGCTCCTGCCCAGGGAGGGCATCCTGCCGGGCCCCTCCAGGGATTTGTCCTCATGGACACTGGGCGATGCCAGTGGCATTTGGCATATTTATTGCAGCATCGTTTTTAATTCCAAAATAGTAGAAACAAATTCCCATCAGTGGGGATCTAATTACAGTAAATTAACACGTTATGGGAAACCTCTATAATGGAATACCAGTGTCTATTTAAAAAGGGGGGGGGGGGAGGCACTGATCATGGAAAGCTCTCCAGGACAGATTTTATTTTTATTTATTTTAAGTATTTTTATTGATTTTTAGAAAGAAAGTAGAGGGAGCGAGAAATGCCCTGAGTGGGAATGGAACCTGTAGTGCGTGAGAGAACACCCACCCAACCGAGCACACAGCCCAGGGCACCAGGCAGGTGTCGGCGGGCGGTGTGAGCAGTGGCGGTGCTGCTGTGTATTCGGGGAGAAGGCGGCCGAGCTGGCTACAGTTTTAGTCTTTCAGCGCATATTTCCTGGCTTCTTGATCTTTCTCTGGCTTGTGGCCAGCCTTTGCCATCAGCAGATATTTTATCAGAGTGCTAGCTTTACCAGACCCCCTCTTTGGCACATTAGACTCCGAGAGTCCCCAACTACCTCCCCTTTTCAGACCAGGCTGGCAGCTCAGGACTGGGGAGACCTGCCATGAGGTGGTACTGTCTGCCGCTTGGTGCTCTGGCCAGATCCGTCCTCCCTGGTACCTGAGGTCAGGAGCCTCTGCTGACGGGAGGGAGCTCTCACCTCCACTACCAGCTCCTCAGCTAACCCTCCACCTCCACCAGGAAATCTAGGAAATGGAAAGTCAGGAAGCACAGCCCTCTCACCCCACCATTCGGCCTGAGATGCTCTCCACGCGGGGCAGCCTCACCTTCTGAACCCGCCCCTTTAGCGATCGGAGAACACAGGCGAGGGCGCCCAGTGCACAGGGCTGACTGCCCATTTCAGCTGAGAAACCCCGTCACTAGGAGTCAGAGCAGGGGGGCTCTGCTGGAGTGTGGACGGGGACAATGTGACAGCCATGGGGTTGCCGGGGGCCCCTGCCAAGCGCTGCAGGGACTGGGCTGCTACGGGCTCTTCACACAAGCTGCCATCTACCCACCACTCACTCATCAAATACCTCCCAACAGCCCACCAGGCGTAGAGAAGTTCTTATTTAAACACTTGCCTTCAATATCAGAAGGGACATGGTGGGGCCAAACTCCAGCTTTTCTCCCAGAGCCAGGGCCTCCCACCCGCTGCAGCCCTGGTTCTGCCTGGCACCGCCCTCCTGCAAGGCCAGCCGCCATCCTGCCTCTTGGCTGCACTGGCCCAAAGGCTCTGGTCAGTGCCCGGGGCAACAGGAGGCTCCCAGGGCAGAGAGCCCTTAAGAGGGAGATGGAGGAGGGGGACAATGCAGAGCACCAGGTCAGCCATGGGTGGTGGGTGTGCCCTCGAGATGCAGGCTCCACAAGGACAGCCCCCCTCACGGGGGCTGGGCCCCAGTTGGTGGTGGCCCCTCTGTGAGCCCAGGGCCTGGCACTGAGAAGGCCCTCTGGCAATACTTGTTAATGGACACTGGCTGATCTCACCAAAGTCTGGCTTGATGATGGTGCCCACACTCCTTGGTCTGGCCTGACCAAGCACACGATACCCAGGCAACAGGTGGGAGGCAGGGAGGCAGCCCCAGGCCTGGGCAGGAAATGCAGGTCACGGCAGGCTGGCTCCATAGGCCTCCCCGGGGCTGGGTGGAGCAGCCCTCGGCGGGCCCCTCCCGGCCCCTGGCTGCCTGGTGAGAGCCTACATGGGGCAGGGCTGTCCGGATGAGAGTCACACTGCAAAGCTGAGGGCTCATCCTGAGCAAGGGAGCCCAGAGAGTGCCTGAGAGGCCCCATGGGAACAGTGGCCGCCCCGTCACTGATGCCTGCACCCCCATGAGGGAGCCACCACAACACTGGCGGCCTGCCCTTCCATGGTGCACCCCCAGCACCTGGTGCCACAGAAAGACGTGCTGGAGGGAGGGAGGAGGAGGAGGGAAGTGAGACCATGGCTTAGGTCCCCTGACCCACAAGGACCAGTGGAATAAAGTCAAACCAGCGTTAATACCAATATAGTTCTCTCTTTTAAATATTATGTTCCCAGGACAGGGGGCAGGGGCAGGCTCTTGGCAGGAAGAATGGAAAGGAAATGCGGAACAACATGGAATGGATCGTCCAGGGCCTGCCCCCACCCGACCCAGGGCCTCTGCCACGGGCACTAGGACCTGGGCTGCTGGGGGGGTGGGGGGGTGGGAGGTGACAGCAGCTTCCTCTGGTCCAGTTATTGCAGGGGTGAGGGAGGGGCGCTCCTCCCCTCCGCAGCCCCCAAACTTCTCAGGATTACTTCTGCCCTTCAGCCCAGCAGAGCTGGGGGCCGGGGCTCTGCTGACCTCGGAGGGGCCCCGCTGTCTAATGGGCTGCAGTAAGGCATGGGGGCGGGGGCACTGGCTAGGCCTGCACTCTCAGTAGCTGCTCTGATGGCCGGTGAGGATGTAGAGGTTGCTGTGTGCCCCCGGGTTGTCGGTGGGAATGCTCTCCAGGATGATGTCCCTGGAGGCGAGAGAAGCGGAGGTGAGCGGGCAGAAGACCCGTGGGCACGGCCACCTGGCCTCAGGGGCCTCTCAATGGGAGGCCAAGCGCCATGTCCTACCTGTGGGCCCCAAGCACTCGGAAGACCCTTGTCTCATCTGTGATCTCCTGGGTCACCTGGGAAGAAAAGGGACACTGAGGCCACCCCGGCGGGTCCTCTCCGAAGAGGTGGACACAACTGGGTCAAGGGCAGCCAGGTTTGGTGCCCGAGTCCCACTCACCTCGTTGGTGTCCAGGCTGCGGCCTTGCATCCCGTGGCTCCAGAAGGCCAGCACGCTGTCCTGCAGACACACTGGGAGGGGCCAGGCTGCCATCAGTCCTGGGCCTGCCTAAAGGTGGGGGCTTCCCCGGGCAGAGGGGTCCTCGAGGACCGCAGGTGACCAGGACGACCCTTATGAGGGGCTGGGGGACCTGACTCCTTGCCCTGCGGCCAGCTGAAAGGCCTGGGGTACTCCAGCCCCCACCTTGTCTGGCTCACTCACCCACAGTCTCAATGGGGAAGTCAAAGGTCAGCACAGGAGCCAGTGTGGCCGTAGGCTCTCCCAGCAGGTTGACAATCCTCACGCAGCCTGCACAGGGAGAGGGCGGTGGGCGGGGATGGGGTGGCTCCCTTCTGGAGGTGACCCAGTTGGCCTCCCCCACTACCCCGCCTCCGCTGTCCGAAGCCCTAACCCCAGGGCACTCACGGTCAAAGCAGACGAGCACTGTGTCCCTGTCCACCTGGACCACCTGCTGGGCCGAGCCTGGGAGCCCCTCTATAGGCAGAGAAAGGAGACATGAGCCACCAACCCTGCTGTGGCCCCGAGAGGAGAACATGGGGGAGTCTCAGGCAGCCCTTGGCCACAAGTGCAATTCATTCGTACAGCCCGGGAGGTCAGGATGCCTAACCTCCCCGCACAGCTGGGGAACTGAGGCTCAGGCAGTGAGGAGCCCGGGGAGCGGGGAGGGTGGGCTCCCGAGTCAGGAGAACCAGGCTCTGGGACTCGGTTGCTGTGTGACCTTGAATCTCTGAGCCTCGGTCTCCTCATCCGTAACACAGGATGCCAACCTTGCAGGGCCGTTGTGGGCATCGAGAATGAAATCCTGTGCGTTAGGCCCTGGCTCGGAGCCTGGGACACAGCAGGGCGTCCGTTCAGGGCACCTTCCTCCTCCTCTGCCCACTGCCCCCCACTCTGCTCCCAGGAGCTGCCCCCACACGTGTCCTGCTTCCTTGCTCAGAATGGAGCCTCTGAGCCAACTTGCCCGGTTGGTCTGTGCCTGCAGCGCCTGCAGCGTTGGTCAGTTTTTTCTTAGCTGTCAAGCCCTTTGGTCTAAGGCAGTGGTTCTCAACCTGTGGGTCGTGACCCCTTTGGCAATCGAATGACTCTTTCACAGGGGTCGCCTAAGACCATTCTGCATATCAAATACTTACATGACGATTCATAACAGTAGCAACATTACAGTTATGAAGTAGCAATGAAAATAATTTTATGGTTGGGTCACAACATGAGGAACTGTATTTAAAGGGCCAGAAGGTTGAGAACCACTGGTAAGGACATTTTTTAGGGAGCCAGCTGCAGGGAGGCTGGGCGCCAGGACCCTCAGGTTTCCATGGACACACACACACACACACACACACACACACACACACACACCCGCCCAGCCCTCCCGCTTACCAGGTGGTATGAGCACATCAGGTGTCAGGCCGGCCTCCAGGGGCAGCACATGGAACAGGACACGGCAGCCAGGTCCCTCAGGGCCCTCGGCCCCCACACACACCTGCGGTAGCTCCTTCCCATCCAGGACCAGCGGCTCCAGCATCCCTGCTGGGCTGGGCAAGGGGCTGGAGAAGTTCTGGGGGCAGCAAGGGTGCTCGGGTCTTCATTCCTTCCCCCAGCCGCCCTGTCCCCTGCTGGGGTCTTCTCCCCCTCTCCCCCCAGCATTGTTTGTAATGCTTAACAAAACAACAAAACAGAGAGGGGCAGGCGGTGGGCATGGCTGGGCCCACACCCAAACCCCGCCCTGGTCCGTCCAGCCCAGCTCTTACCCACACGACACTGCAGGCAGCCTTTGGTGTCAGGAATCTTGGTGGACAGGGCAAAGCGCCTGTAGGGGTGACAACCAGGGCACACATCATAGGTGAGGCCCGACAGAGCCCCAGAGGTGGGTGCTGTCGTCTTCTCTGCCTTCCAGGGAGGAGACTCGGGCTCAGAGAGGCACAGCTGTGAGAGGCAGGGGGCGGAAGCCGGTCTCCCTGCTGCAGCACCCACCTCTACAGCCTGGAGTGTCCGTCCAGCCAGGGGTTCAGAACTCAGGACTACCTCTAACTGTGTGACTCTGAGCAAGTCACCGCCACCCCACGCCTCGATTTCCTCATCTGTAGAATGGGATGACGGGCCCCCCTCCTCGTAGGGTCCCAGTGAGGATCCTGTGGGTTCACACCGCAGAGCCTGGCCTATCGTGCACTCACACAGGGCTAGCTGTCATCACCCCGTGTAACTACTTTCCCACCTATTTCCAGTCACTGGAAACGGAGACATGAACGAACTGACGATACAGCTCCAGCTCCACTAGGCAGCCAGTGCTCACATCCCATCCCGGCCCCACAGGACCCGGGTCTAGGATGAGCCAACGGGCCCAGCGATGAAGAGTGGCAGGAAAAGGCAAAAGGTCTGCCCCCAGCTGTTTTCACCGAGTCCACGGCCCTGGGCGGCCAGTGCTGGCTCACCTCGGTGCCCGGGAAGAAGCGGGGTCCTTGCCTTGGTTCCTGTCTGTCCCCTAAGCCCCTAAGGGACTTGCTGAGCCTCTATCTTTCTCTGGGGAACAGGGCTACCCATCAGCAGTGCTGCCACCACCTCGCAGGGACCCCAGCCCTGTCTGCCCTCGGCCAGGATGTGGGCCCCGCCGAGGAAGCCAACGCCTGCCTGCCTGTCCTCACTCCTCTCTCTCTCCCCTTGTTCCTCCCACTCTCTTCCCCAACGGGCCTTCAGCAGATGTTTCTGTGTTTGATTTTTTTCCTCCAAAGCCATCTGGTTCTCCGCTCTTTACATCTGAAATGGACACTGGGACTCTGTGATGTCCCAAACACACCCCCCAAGCTGCCTGTGACACGGGCTCTCATGGGCCTGTTTCCTGCAGGTCCTGGGCCAAAGCAAAGCCTGGCTTGGGGACTGAGCTCAGGAAGCCCCGAGGCCGGGGCTGCAGATGTGGCCCTGGCGCGAGTCCGCGGCAGGCAGGGCATCTCCCCAGCTGTGGAGCCACTGGCCTGGCCTCCCCGCCTGGCCCACAGGCGTCCACCTGGTCACAACAACAGCTACGCCCACAGCCCGGCCACCCCCTCGAGCCTCCACCTCGCTCAGCCAACAGCTGACAGAGGTCCCGCTTGCATGGCTCAGACTCAGTGTGACACCATGGAGCTCTGCTCCCCCTACAGCTGCTGACAGCTCCATCCTTCCGTTGCCCGGCCAGGAACCGTGCCTCCTCTTTCTCTTCCATCCACCAACTGTCAGGAAATCCCGTTGGTTCAACTTTCAAATTAAAGCCAGAATCCGGCCGTTTACCACGTCTTTCCCTGCTCCCCCAACCCACGCCGCCATCTCCCATCTGATTCTTCAACGGCCTCCTGACAGGTCTCCTGCTTCCACCCTCATCCCCGCCCCCAGCCCCCCGGTCTATTCTCAACACAACAGCTGGAGCGATTCCGCGAAGACTCCGCGCACACAGCTCTGCAGCGGCCCTCGGGCAGCTCTGAGTCAAAGCCAAGGGCCTCACTGTGGCCACAGGGCCCTTCAAGGTCATCTCCCTCTGACATACAGAGGGGTCCTTCTAAAACGCTCACAGCACTGCTGCCAGTTGGACAGAACTCAGCTCTGGGCCTGGCATCGAAGGGAGCTCCGCCCCCTGCCACCTGCGCAGCTCCCTCTCAGGCCACTCCACCTGCCTCCCAAAGGCCCAACCCCTCATACCTCCAGGCCCGACCACATTCTCACTTGCTCTTCCCTCTGCAGGGAAGACCTCTGTGCACTTCCAAAGGCCATGAGCTCACCTGCCCTCTCTGAGGCCTCCCAGCCCCTCCCAGCCACCCCACCCCCACCCCCACCCCCAGTTCAGCTCAGTGCCAGGTACTGAGTCCCAAGGACTGACTCATTTGATCGTAGTCTCCAAGCCCAGCCTGAGACCTAGTCCTAGCACGTACTAAGTGCTCAGTAAACGTTTGTCCCACATCCTAAGAACCACGGCTCCCACAATCGGCAAAGTAATTTCACATCCACTACTTCCTTCTTGCCGGCCAACAGGCCTGGGGTCAGGGGAGGGGAGGCTCTCAATGCTCTGACAGATGAGGAAACGGGCCCAGAGAGGCAAAGTGACAGGTCTAAGATCACAGCAGGTCTGAGATCTAAGGTCCCAGGGACGAGCACGGCCAGAGTCCAACTCTGGCTCTGCCCCTCTGCCTCCCCGCTACGCCCCTCTCCCCTGCACCCCCGAGGTCCCCAACCTGGGGATGATGCGCTGGGTGAGGCGGTTGGTGGGGATGGAGAGGGGAACCTGCTGCTGCAGTCGCCGCTGCTCAAACAGGCCCGGGAGGTCGTGGGACCAGATGTGCGCGGATTTCCCTGCCAAGGAGAGGGGGGGGCTCAGAGCGCTGGCGGGCAGGTCCCCCCCTGCCTGCCCCCCCTCCGCCTGCTCCAACGTGTACCTGAGAGTGACAGCAGCACATTATTCACACAGTAGAGCCAGGCGCAGCGGTGTGAGATCAGCTGCAGGCCACAGAGCAACAGATGGACAGGCGGTCAGCACCCCAGGCCCCCCAGGCCCCCCGCCCTCCGCAGCCAGCCGGCCTCACCTTCTCCAGTGTGTCCTCGTGCAGTTCGTGCAGGTTGAGGGTGTAGATGCCTTCCTCAGCCCCCACCACCAGGAACTGATCTGCAGTTTGAGTACAGGGTCAGAGGTCAGTCGGGAGCCCTGGCCCAAGCTGGGGGTTCCCTGGCTCCTGCTTGCTGCCCGCCCCCGGCCTACCCCGGGTGCCAGGGTGAATCCAGGTGACAGCAGCATGGATCCGCAGGGGGCAGCCATTGAAGACCTTGGAGAAGCAGGCACCCATCTGGGGGGGACAAGAGGCTGGTAAGGAAGCTCC